TTTATAAAAAAACATTTTCACCTTCTTGTTTTGGGTGTCATGAAAAACTCATTTGTTTTTTAATGTATCTTTAAAGTCTTAATATACACATTTAGGAATGGAGAGAGTTATTCCACAAAAATTGATGCTATATATGAGTATATAAAATGGAGAGTATCTACCTCTTTCCCATAATATTTTTTGTTTTATTTTCCAAGGTCAAACTAATTAATAAACTTTAATAATTAATTAAATAATAATAATATTTCACGTTAATACAATAATGATTTTATTTCATTTTATCTATATGAAATGCAAATATAATGTAATGTAATTGATGATTAATTAGAATTTATTAATTTTAACTTGAAAAATGAATCTTGTAATATTTTGAGACAAATGAAGTACTTTATATTGAATATTGATTAGCATTTTAGATCATGAACACTAATATTAAAAAATAGCTAGGAGAGTAATAGTTTTAATTTTCGACTTGGATCGATACCCAAACAGGCCCTTAGCTTGTGTTCGAACTTAGCTTAATTTTCGACCACAAAAGTCTTTCAAGTTAGATTTATATTAGCTTGAGCTAAAGTTGGAATAGTATAATTAAACTCTAGTTTGAAGTTAGATACATGCCCTATATATGAAAGAGCAACTCCATACAGTCCATCTTTTGGCCGGCCGACATCTATCTATTATTTAAAAAGCCATGAATTCTCATTTTTCTTTTCCCGCCCATTTGGTGTTCTAGAGAAAATGGTAATTGTTCACACTATATGGTAATTACTACTCCCTCCGTCCTATAATGATCTTTCCGGTTCGCAAAACGAAGAAAAATCTCAAGTTTTTTCAATCTATTTTATTTAAATATTGGTATAGAAATAAAAAATAAAACATACATATTTAAAAACTACATCAAAAGTTCAACAAAACAAGTGGTGACAAGAATATTTTATTTTATCATATAGGCCATGAAAAAACACAAATAAATATAAATTCCCGTGAAGTTGGAATAGTGCTCTGGGAAGATCATTATAGGACGGAGGGAGTAAATGGTAATTAAACAGATCATTAATGGAGTTACCGTAATCAAGTAATTACTCAATTAATATTACCGTGAATATAATATTAGTGTAATTATGCTCAACATATAACCGTGTAATTTAATATAACCGTTTATAAAAAATGTATAAAAACCGTGTATAAAAAAGGTAACAAATGCTCAACTAAAAATGGTAATTTAATATAACCATGTAATTAAAATGGTAACGAATGGTAATTTAATATAAACGTGTATAAAAAAGGTAACGAATGAAAATTTTATTTAATTTAGTTACCGTAATTGAGTAATTACTCAATTAATATTACCGTGAATATAATATTAGTGTAATTGTGCTCAACATATAACCGTGTAATTTAATATAACCGTGTATAAAAAAAGGTATAAAAACCGTGTATAAAAAAGGTAACGAATGCTCAACTAAAAATGGTAATTTAATATAACTGTGTAATTAAAATGGTAACGAATGGTAATTTAATATAAACGTGTATAAAAAAGGTAACGAATGAAAATTTTATTTAATTTAGTTACCGTAATTGAGTAATTACTCAATTAATATTACCGTGAATATAATATTAGTGAAATTGTGCTCAACATATAACCGTGTATTTTAATATAACCGTGTATAAAAAAAGTATAAAAAACCCTGTATAAAAAAGGTAACGAATGCTCAACTAAAAATGGTAATTTAATATAACGGTATAATTAAAATGGTAAGGAATGGTAATTTAATATAAACGTGAAATAAATTATGCGAATGGTAAATTAATTATACGAATGATAATTGAAGGTAATTAAAAACGTATATAAAAAAGCTAACTAAAAAATATGTTTGAAGTTTATACTGGCACACTGAACATAACCTGTAAAAACTTAGAAATAAACTATTAAAAACGTGTATAAAAAAGGTAACGAATGGTAATTTAATATAACCGTGTATTTTAATTTGTAATTAAAAATAGGAAAATAAGTATAGAGTTATGTACATTTTTAAATCGTATACCAAAATGGTAATAAAAAAGGAACACCGAAATTCATAAATTCATGTAGTATAAATACCCTACCTTACCGAGCCAGAAAAGTAAACGAGTGTTCAGGAAACGAGAGTTTTAAAGAGTTTTAATTAACCGGTGCTCCACCATCGTTTTTGTACGAACATGGGAATGATTACCGCCCTAAAAAATGTTCATGAAAATTCCGGATTGTTGATGATGAAGCTAAGGGCGATTAGAGTTTACCACGTTCCTGCTCATTCTCGAGGGCCGAAATAATTGGATATTGTTTTCCACGACTCAGAGGTTAGTTCTACATTGTTTTATATTTTACATATAATAAATCTTTAAACAGAAAAAATAAATTTAATTATAGATTAACTTTTATATTTGTTGTTAGGGCGATCGGATCCATGCTCAGGTCAAAGATACTACTATAAGCACATTCAAACAAGCTTTGCAAGAAAATGTGGTTTACTTAATCATGAGGGTCAGGGTTATACGCAATTTCCAAGGCACAAAAATTACCAATCACCCTTGCATGCTCCATTTTTTGTGAAAGACCAAGATTCAAAAACTATCGGAAAATGGATTTCCTAATTTTCGATTCTACTTTAAGAGTTTTGAAGATGTACTCAAAACAAATTAAACTTTGCTCACCAAGTCTTTTTAGTTGGTAAGAGTCATTTACATTTACATAACTTAAATACTTACACATATGAAATACATTTCATGTATTATGATTATGAAATTTATAAAATTGTATTTTTATGGATTTTCAGATATAATCGGGAAAGTAGTTAGTCGAACTGCGCCCGAAACCCATATGGTTAATAATGCCCCAGAGCAAATGATGGAAGTTACCTTGGAGAACCACAAGTAAGTGACTTTTTAATAACCGAATTCATTTTAATAAAAAAAATATTATAGTTTGAAAAAATTACTAAATAATTCAATTACATGATACATTATTTTATTAACTAATAACTAGAAAATTTCGACATATAATTGATTTAAAAATAATTTTAACTTTTTTTGTAGTGGCGTTCGATTGAATTGTACATTATGAGGAAATCACGTCAATGTTTTCATTGATGGATTGAGTGCATCGGAATCGACCCTTCCAATTTTGGTGTTGCAGATGGTGAAACCTAAGTTCGACAGTGGGTTGAGAAATATTGACCATTCAATGAGTTTATGTAATGGTACACGGTTAATAGTAACTCGGTTGGCTAATCACTCAATACAAGAAAAAATATTATGAGGAAACCACATGGGTGAAGAAGTTGTTATTCCAAGACTGTCATTAACACCGTCCGATACAAGAATTCCTTTCAAGTTTCAAAGAAGACAATTCCATGTGGTTACTTCGTACGCAATGACGATTAACAAGAGCCAGAGACAATCTCTGAAACATGTTGAACTACTGTTGCAGAAACCTGTGTTTAGTCATAGACAGCTCTATGTTGCAGTTTCAATACTCTAATCGTAGTGGATTGAAGATTCTGATATGCAATGAAGACAAAACTCCCACAAAGACTACAAATATTGTAGTCTATAAAGAAGTCTTTCGAAATTTGTAAAACATTGATGTTCTGTACCTTAAAATAATATAATCTCTACATTCTATTGCATCTCATTTTTTATCATTAAAAAATGATCTGAATTTAATAACATAAAAATGACCCGTGCAACGCACGGGTGTGATACTAGTGTCTCATAATAACCTAACCAAGTAAATGTTAAAATAAAAATCACATTCTCACGGCCATCTTAAAAAATCTCCTAGTTGTCTTTCTTGAAATTTATTTTTAATTTAATTTATTTTAAAATTATTAAATTAAATAAATAAATTTATAAATTAAAAATTACATTCAAAAATCTACAAAATAAAAATTGCTATAATCATGTTATTTTGCCAAATCAGTATCAAAAATAGACAAAAAAAATGAGGATCTTAACTTTGTCTGAAATTGCTCCATCATCTCTAAAAACCAAACATTCACTATATTTTTTTTTTATTTTGGAGTATGATGAATAAAACAAAACATCTTTTTAAAGTCTGTTTTGGATCCTTTGCATTGTAGAATTACATTTAGGGTCCGTTTGATAAACAAAATTGGCAGAATTGGAATTGAATAGTGAGTTGAAATTTTATGGAATTTTCCATTTCTAATTTATTTTTGACACTCCTAATTTTAAATCCACATATTTTTTGTATTAACAAACAGTAGAATTAAAATTATTATTCTTAATTTCAATTTTATTGTTTGAATTTCATGTAATTTTAGTCAATTCAACTCTTTTGTTGAGATAGCAAATGCAGTCCCACCAACATTTTAACCCTTTAATATGAGACCTTTTAAAAATTCTTCAAAAATAAATTCACAAGAGTTTAGCTTAGAACGATCGAATTCATGGCGGCTTAAATTGAGAGATCAAGTTTATACATATTTATATATATCATTCAAAAGATCTAAAACAAAACAGAATTTTTTTTTAAAAAAAAAACAGGAAATCGAAACTAATTAATTAAGGGGTTTAATTACGATCTGTCTCAGGCCGGGACGACCGCGAATTTACACACGTGGATACCTAACGTCCCGGACATTACAGGGCATGAAAGCCAGAATCATTAGAACGGCGAGAATACAGATCGGGACGAACAGGAGCATCAGCGGCGGCGGCGGCAACGGCGGCAGCACCAGCGGCAGAAGCAGCAGCGACGCCGTGAGGCAGAGCAGCAGGAACAGAGACTCCGGGCCGAAGTAGCTCAGCTGGGAGAAGAGCGCCGTCCTCTTCCCGATCTTCCTCTGGTGAGCCGCCGGCGACTGCGACGGCGGCGGAGCTTTCTTGGAAACCACCTTCATGTTGGCTGCTGCCGCCGCGCCGTAGGTGGCGTTCTTGATGAGGCGGTGGTCCGGCAGGCTATTCAAAAAGTAGTAATTTTCTTGGGCGCCTCTGCTTGCTGCAAGAATCATTATATTATATTCCTAAGCCCAAGGAAATAAATTTATATATATATGGCCATATGGGATGATTATTATTATTATATATATTGTTTGAGGGGGAATTGAAGAAGCTAAATAAGGGGGGATGAATGTGGTTGTGGTTGTCAAATTGTTTGAAAGTTAGGACAAGCTGATTCTTTTTTTTTTTTGGCAGAGAGAAAAAAAGAAAAGAAGAAGGATTGGGGCAATTCAGTATATAATATTATACTCCGTATGATGATTGCCCTCTAAAATAAAGGGTACCCTTTCAGGGGGGATGGATAATTGATTGGGATGAGTATATAGTATAGAATGGGTATGGCACTATGGTATGGTTGCTCTGTATTTATATAGTTTTTGCAGCCTATACATACGGAGTGGGTGTGTATTTATACATATGGAGCCAATTTTTTAAGGACCTTGTCACCCCTTTCAAAACTGCATTTGGTCTTGAAATTTTATAAAAAAAAAATAAGAACATCATAGTTCTTTTGCCTTTGTAAATCAAATTGATATTATGGCTCCTCACACCTACACTACCCCGTTGATAAATTTAATGGTTTCCGTCCTCTTAAACTATTAAAATAGATTTTTTTAAAATGAATAATTTTCTCACATTTTAAAATGCAAATTAGGTACGTATCTATTTACCTCCAATTTTGTTCAAATAAATACCAAATTATCTCGAATCATATCGAACTGATATTTCAACATTGGTACGACGTAAGCTTTTAGATTGGCTCGAAACATTTGATACTGAATCGGTGCGAACTCAATACCGTAACATATTGTACCATGCTCACCCTAATAATTGGGCTCCAAATTGGATTTTTCGGCAAATCTAATCTAGAGGTTTGAACGCCAGAATCACAAATAAAATGGTCACAAAATACATCATTTATGTATTTAAATTTTTACATTTTAATAATTTATTTAAATCTTTTAACGAGGTACACAAATAATAAGATTGTGTATGTATTTCTTGACATTTGTACTGTGTGACTCAGCATTCCTCAACTAATCAATCCATCGTCCTTTCTAACTTTTCCTTCGTTGCTCTTTCCTATGGATCTCTTGCGTCGCGATTCAATGCATCGTCCTCTTAATCAATTGCATGTAAGCTTTGACCCTTTGCTTCAAATTCTTCAATGTCCAACTCAAGGTAGTCAATTTCACCATTTCGGTAGGTTTTCAATTTTCGGCTTTGATTTTTATTCACAATTTTGTATGACAAAAACCAGATGTTGAGAACTTTTTTTCTATAATCCGATCCACTCATTAGTTAATTTTTTTTTATGCTCCATCGGTCTCTGAAATATTATTTTCTTTGTTTTTTAGTTAAATTTTACAAAAAATTTTCAAATAGTTTTGACTTTTTTCGGTCAATTATTTTCAACTTTCGACCTATAATTAAATAAATTGCGTTAATTAGATAAAATAATAATTTGAAAATATTTGATATAATAAATCCAATAAAACTATTTTGTATCAATATTTAATATCATTTTTATTTAATTGGAGGTCAAAGTTTACCCATTTTGACCAAAAAAAATCATAAGTGAAGAAATACTCAGATACAGAGGAAGTAGTCTTTAAAAAGATTGGAAGACGCTCAATTTTTGAACGGACAATTTAGGTGCGCTTGCAATGCTTTGAGACGATCTAGTACATCAAGTGTAACGTTTCATCGGTTTTTGACAATGATAGTGTAAAAATGTTATCCAATGTGACAGTTCCTAGTGCATTATTGGGCATGGAACAATCTCCTTAACGATCAAATTAAGATTAGATCATGACATTTAGCTTTTGATGTGACAAATATTTATGACAATTATTTACTTAAATTGATATTTATTGATGATCACAATGTGTATCGAGTTGACACAAATATTAAAAGACGGGAAACATTTTAGAGACGAAGAAAATGATATCTGAACCTAAATTAAGTTGGGTCAGGTTTGGATCATAGAATTTACCGACTCGACCTGATTGTGTGCATAATACAAAGTATGGAGTAATATTTTAGTGTTAAAAGGACCATAGAGTTACAAGTAGAAACATATAAAAAGTGTTCTTCGTATGATGTGTGAATACTAGCTATTAAAACAGACCTCACTAAAATTACTCCCTCCGTCCCGCTATATTCGTCCACTTTTGACTTTTGGAACTGTTCATCTAAGCACTTTGACTCATCAAATTTTCTCAATGTGTAAGCCTAAATATAGTCATGCGTGATCTTGTTTGATTTGTCTTAACATATAGATTATTAATATATAATTTCTATAATTTTTTAATATACAAATTACAAGATAAAATGGATTAAAGAAGTGCATTGGATGGTGTGCAAAAATAAAAGTGGACAAATATAGTGGGACGGAGGGAGTATTATTCTAGACAAAATCAAACTCAAACAATTGACTAATTGAGTGTAATACCAATTTTTTTAAAAATGAACTCATACCTTAGAGCATTTAGATTTTGGAGCAGATGAGAAATTATTAGTTAACACATGAAAAAAACAACTCAATTGATTCACACAAGAGTTGGGGACAAATAATAATAATCAAACAATTATTTTTCAAAGAACAATAAAAAAATATTGAGATTTAATGTATTGAATAGGGAAGGCAATCTCGGACCAATCTTTAAAGAATCCAAACCCAAGTCGAGAAAGTAATTTTCGAACCTGATCCACCAAAAATAAACTCAAAGCCAAACTAAGTTACATCGGATTTGGATACACTAAAACTCGAACCGAACTTGACCTCTTGTCATCTCAAATTCACTCAGAGTCCGTTTGGTACACGGAATTGATGGAATTGAATTGGAATTAAAATTTCATGGGATTCAATTCCACAGAATTGAAATCAGCAATTTCAATTCATTTTTTGCACTATCAATTCCAAATCTACATAATTTTTGGGCTACCAAACAACAGAATTGGAATTGAAGTCCTCAATTCCAATTCCATAGTTTGAATTCCATGTACCAAACAGAGCCTCAAAGTTTTTCACTCATATCACTTCGAGTTTTTTCTACTTAAATTTTGAGCTTTTATTTATTACAAATGTTCCAAATTAAATGTTGATTTCTTTTAATCAAATAAAGTACTCCGTATTATACTTCTTTTTTTCTTCCTATTTTGGATAGAAATTTTAAATAAATAATTTCATTTCTTTATTTTGTGAAAAAATAACTACGAACTTAAATTAAAAAATCTCTACCAACGGGTGGTTGCACAGTAGAGAACTTTCAGTTCAATCTTAATCTGCAAATCTGATAGGGGAAGGTTCAAATGACATTGAACCTTAATGTCATAGAATGACCCGGGGTCGCTCCGGTGCCCCGTTCGTAAAATTGACGGTTCCTACCCCCTAACCCCCGGTAAACCCCCCACCCCGGCCCCGACCCGAACACACCCCCTTCAATCTATGACATTAAAGTTCAATGTCATTTGTACCTTGGTGAATCTGATATATCAATATTAATCGAATTTCGTCACCTGCACTCTAACAAGAAAGAAGTCTGTACGAATTAAATATTGAATCTTTTATTTAAAAGAATAGGCATAACAAAATGGATTTGTGGTCTCATAAATAGGGCCGTTGTGTAATATTCTCCATCATATACTCCAAGTCCGGGGTACTAATTAAGTTGTCGTTTCGTGGTCTAGATTGGGCCAATAATTTGTAGAGATTTTAAATTTTATATGCTTAAAAAAATATCAAAATCTTAATTGGGAAGGAAAAGACTCATTCTATCATTCACACAAGAAACACGACTTCAAAATTGGTCTGGTCCAAAGATTACCCAGAGAAATACACACTATAATATATCTTGGAGAAGATGATCGATCATGGATTTCTTTCTTTTCTTTTTTTTTTGTGTGTTTGAATTTAAAGAAACTCATCAGGTACATCAAAAGCTAAATTGGTAATTTTGGATTTTGATCTGTCTTCGATCAGGAATTTACACGCGTGGGTACCTCAGGTCCCGGACATTACAGGGCATGAAAGCCAGAACCATTAGAACGGCGAGAATGCAGATCGGGACGAACAGGAGCATCAGCGGCGGCGGCGGCAGCGGCGGCAGCACCAGCGGCAGAAGCAGCAGCGACGCCGTGAGGCAGAGCAGCAGGAACAGAGACTCCGGGCCGAAGTAGCTCAGCTGGGAGAAGAGCACCATCCTCTTCCCGATCTTCCTCTGGTGAGCCGCCGGCGGAACATTCTTGGAAACCACCTTCGTATTGGCTGCCGCCGCCGCCGCGCCGTAGCTGCTGTTCTTGGGGAGACTGTGGCGGTGCTCCAGGCTATTCAAGTAGTAATTTTCTTGGGCGCTTCTCGCAGGAAGAATCATTGTATTGGGAATTAATTCTTTAAATCGATTAAAAATTAGATCTTGGGATTGTGGTTTTAGTAATTAATCGAATGCTTCAGATCGAGCGAACTGAATAAAGAAGAAGAAGAAGAAGAAAGGATTTGGATGATGGGTAATTGGGTATGGAGTGGTGGCTCTGGATGTATATGCAGAGTATAATATATAGACATACGGCGGACTCGCATCGTATATATATACACTTCTTTGAGCCGTCTTATTTACCTCGTGAAAAAATAAAATAAAATAAAGGACCATGATACATTTATACCAAAAATTATACCCCATTTGTACACCGCAGTTATACACAAACATTTTGATGGTTTACACCGACACAAATGTTGGTGTGTTAACAAAAATTTACACGGACACAAAGTGTTTGTGCGTTAACAAAAATTAGTTTTACACCAACATAAAATGTTGGTGCAAACCTGCGAGGTACAAAGTGGGGTACAAAAGGTTGGGTACAAGTAGCTTTATCCTAAAATAAAATACTCCGTACTGCGTAGAGAAAAACACATTATTTCAGGAGAGATAAAAAGAGGATATGCGAAATTTCTATTAGAAAAAAAATGAGGCCCATCCTTTAAATCCGATTGGACGGTCAGTGAGAGAAGGTAAATTAGATTTTGATTTGACTAAAAGTAGAGTGTGCACGGCTGCACATGGTACTTGCAGTGGCCTTATATTTTGCATAGTTGCCTTCCAACCCATTTGTCAGAAATCAAACTTGGATCATATCTTACCTCATTGGTACTCTTTATCTTGCCAACTGCGCAATGCCCTGACAAAATTCCTTTTTAAAATAGATGAGTAATACACTACTAGAATGGTACTCTCTCCCTCTCAACAATTTTGATTACAATCTCTTTTGTTCTCATCTCGATAAGTTTTATTTGTGAGTATATTTTCATTGATTGTTTGATAAAAATAAAATACTACTCTTATTACCTCTTATTTTGTAACATTTTGGACGTGGTTTTTAAATATATAAGGAGTAATTTTATTTTTTATTCATGTAACAATTTGTAAATAAAATGATTTCAAAAGATATGGAGTTAGTTTTACCTCGTAAATCCTAATTTGTAATCAAATTTGAAATAGAGAGACTAGATAGTAGTTGAATCCTCGCTATGTCCCAATGAAGAAAATTGAGTTAAGTTGTATGATGAGGAAAGATAAATTAAAAGAATAACAAATTTTTTAAAATGAAAAGATAGAAAGTTCTTTTTTTAGACAAAGCAAAAACCAGTGGATTTTTTACAGAGACTATTTAATTACTCGGTATATTTATCATCAATACTTTTATACGGAGTAGCTATGATGTAGCTCTAGAAACTAGTATTTGGCCTCAAAGCTAGCTATGATTACATTATGGTAGTTGGATGCGCATTTTGAAACTTGTTGCGCTTTCTGTGGGTCTTCTCTGATACTCCTATATCTTGTATTATCAGTGTTATTTGAGTTGAGTTCTTTTAGAAATAGTCTCCCTATTTTGGAGTAAGAGTAAAGTCTGTATATACATACCATCCTCAGATCCTACTTCTGTGGGATTCAACTTAGTAAGAGGTACGAGAAAAATGCAACAAAAAAAAAACATAATCCATGGTGATTTTTTTAAAACCGTACTCAAATTGATGCTGGTAAGTGGGAACAATGATATTAATACGAAGTTACTCCATGATATTAGTCTCTTCGTTCCATAATGAATTATATTGTTATTATTTTAATTTCTCGATGATTTTTATTTAATTTACTTAGTTGATTTTCATTGATTATTTGATAAAACAAAATATTTTAGTTATCTCTTGTTTTGTACAGTTTTTTATGTAGTTTTTTAACATGTAATTTGTATTTCTTATTAATATATCAATGAATAAAAAATGATTTCAAAAATCATACAAATTTACTTGGTAATATACTACGGAGTAATATAATTCTCATTTTGTAATGGAAATATGGACAGAAAGAATAGATAAGGAACAAAGAAAGAAGGTGCTATGTTATGTGATGCGAAGCTCGTGGCTTGGGACGGGTTCAGTGGATTATATCATACCGTAATGTAAGTGGATGGGGACAGCCGACTTTCAGGTTCGTCTCCCCTGGACCTACTATATACCAATGTTTTAAAAACTGGACCGGACGTCGACCCGGACAAGGTAGTGGGTCAAGGATTGACCGGTCGAACCGGTCAAATCGGGGGTAAACGACTCGGTCAACTATGTTTATAATAATAATATTTTAAAATATATATTAGATATTTTTAGTCAATAAAAATATTTTAATTTATGTTATTATTTCCCATCTATTTTTTAACATCCTTGTACATATGCTATTTCACACCTTCTATTTTTATTCTATTATTTTTATTATTATTACTAAAAGTTAATATTGAATCTCTAACAAATAATAAGGAGGTACTCATATTTTCAAAAATTAAAGGCTAGATATTTTATTCTTATATACATATGACATTTTAAAGATTATATTTAGTTGATTAAAATGATTGAAAAATAAAAAATATAGCATATTAAATTATAATTAATAAATATTACTTGATTTTTAAAGACAACAATTTTTTAATTATAAAATATACAGAGTATATTTATTTTCAAATACAAATTAAATAATTCTCAATTTTTTAAAACTATTTTAAAAGTTCATAAATACAAATTCACATATGCACAAAAAACTACGGAGTACATGTTTATTTTGTATGAACCTTTTGTAAAACCATAAATAGATATGATTGATACCTAAATTTGGAATAAAGATTGGGTAGCTCACTTGGCCGACAACTTAACTGAAGTACTTGAGGTGTTGGGTTCGGTTCCCAGCTATGCCCTCATTTTTTATATGTTAAAATTTAATACCGGAGTAAAATGTAGATTTAAGTTCAAACCCGGGAACCGGCCGGGTCGACCCGGGTCACCCGGTTCACCGGGTTTGGGCGGGTCAAATGGGATGCGGGTTTCTTCAGTGAATCGGACCGGATATGTTGCTGGTTCGCGGGTTGACCGGTTGGACCGGCCGGTCCGGTCCGGTTTTCAAAACACTGCTATATACCCTTCATTGCATCCCTCCCCATTTATGGAGTGCTTCTTTAAAAAAATGGAGCCACATCTCGGAATGTTTTCTCAAATCCAATCGAGTAATGCTATAGTCACAAACAAATGTTCCGGTAGTTCACAAAATTCATAAACTTGCTTTTTTAATACTTTTCTAGAAATGAGATGTACTTAAATCATAAAAGATATTTTAATTTAAAATCCACAAAAGGCAAGTTTGTGAAGTTTGTGAATTATAAGTTTGTGACTCTAGCATTTTCCAATCCAATCGGACCGAATACTTCTTTAAAGATTCATGCGGTGAGCATGAGTTTTCATGTAGATTTTCGTTTTTTTAATTTTGGTGAGAAATAAAAAGAATGCAAATTTGATATATTTAGATATTACGAATCATCTATATGACGGATCTCAAAATTTATATCTTCTGCATGGTTGCATTTGAGATTTATCAATATGGGGCTTTGATATTTCTCACAATCATCAACCACTACCACGTACTGTACTACCGCCAATCACCTTCAATTTGTTTTCGATCACCTCCGATTAATTGTCACTAATTAAATTATGATTTTTAATCTATTTAAAAACTTTACTTTAGATTTCAAAACTCACCAAACGAGGCATACTTTCAAAATTCAAATCTTATTATGTCTACAAAACTCATCAAACCGGTCATATTTTCATTTAGAGTAATGCTAGGGGTACAGCAAAAGGTGTACCCCAAATGTACACCACCCTCTTTTCATCCACACATTTTTATTTGATTTTTATTTACTTAATTTTTTTGAATTTTTTTGCCTTTTTTAGTGGACAAGGAGAGGGTGGGGGATATTTGGAGTACACCTTTGGTGTACCCCTAGCATTTTTCTTTCATTTATCTCATCTCTCTATCAAAAGAGAGTAAATTAAACTACTTCGTATAGTCGTCTTATTCAACTTTTTTTCTTTGGAGATACCCCAACTTTTAGCGTTGTAACAAAAAGGCACCACAACTTCAATTTGTAACACACAGGCACAACAACAATACTGTTGAATCCCACGAGGGTAGGATTTGGAGAGGGTTTGTGTACGCACTTTAGCTCTACTCGAATGTAGAGAGGATGTTTTCAAAGAATCCCCGGCTTAGCGTCGAATTTTTTTTATTAAGATTATAGACATAACTTTTTTATTATTTAAAATTAGAGACATAACTTTTTTTATTATTTAAAATTGAACCTCTAATTTAGAAAATTAAACTAGATATAGGTCTATTAATTAAAATTATACCTCTAAATCTCTAATAACGGAGTATCATATTTTGTTCCAAATTTTTTTTGATATAGTTCTAAAATATATAATTTGTTTATTTCTACACCAATTTCTCAAAAAAAAATATTTTTCTTGCAAATCGCTTCATGAATTGTACATGGGGAAGGACTATTTATTTATTTATATATTATTTATGTATTAATTAATTAATTAATTTATTTATTTATCAATTTTTTATTTAATTACGTAATAAATAGTTATTTTTTATTTATTTATAAAAATTACATACAATAACAAATAAAAAAAATCTATTTTTCAACAGCCAAACTAAAATGCTACTCCCCGTAGCTTTTTAAATCTTGGCTTTTCGGACTAAACAACCAACCCTTGAAGCCAACTACCAAACATCATTTTTGGCTGTTTGACCAGTCAAAGCCGATAAAATTGATTAAAACAACAAAAAACCATCATAAATGCCAAAAACCAAGCATACACAACTTATATTTTGAATGTTTTTGGATTCTAGATCTCTTAGCATTTACCAATACCAGTACCACATACGGAGTATAATCTTATACAGAGTATTGGAGTATTATGTACGTCTTTAATTGCCAACAAAATTGCTTATTTCTCCGTTCCACATCATTCTTTTCATTTAATGTAGAAACTATAGGACGTTGAACTTGGTTTCTTCCATTGATGCCAAAAGAATATAAATATACATCGGTGATACAAACGAAGAGTTCCCCGGTGATACACACGAGGTGGCATCAATTGCTCCAAGAAAACCTTTGTACCTGTCATGCAACTTATTATAATGAACAAAGTTAGTAATAGGGAACCGAGTACCCGATTGTGACGAACTTGAGAACATAGTCATTGAGATGAGCCGGACGACGACGCGTACGCGGTGGAAGAGAAGGAACTACTGCCGGTGGAGAAGTGGTCTCCACCGTGGATGACTGTGGGTTGGCGTCGTCCGGAGAAGAAGCAGGAGAATCGGTCGAAATAGGGAAGGAAGAGGATGGGGACTGTAATTGAGATGTGGACGGGGATGGTGAAGTGGATGGCGATATGGCGGCGTCGGGTACGGGAATGGGAAAATCCTCCAATGACGGTGTGAGGATAGGTTCTGTAGTAGCTGACGGAGTAGGGATAGCAAAAGGAAAAATGGACTCATCAAACGAAAGATCCCGCGTGTGGAAAAATTGGTGTGTTTCGAGATTGTAAACTCGCCAACCTTTGGTACCATAAGGGTATCCAACAAACATACATTTGACACTCCTTGGAAAAAATTTGTTTTTGGGTTTGGGAATAGGATGAACAAAACAGAGACACCCAAAAACACGAAGATGACTGAGATCCTGAGGCTTGGAAGAAAGGATTTCAAGAGGAGACTTACCCCCAAGAATTTTCATGGGAGTACGATTAATTAAATAAACTGCCGTTTTGACACACTCCCCCCAAAATTCAAGTGGAAGAGACGCTTGAAACATAAGTGAACGAGCAACATTTAATATGTGACGATGTTTACGCTCTACCCGTCCATTCTGTTGGGGAGTACCAACACACGATGTTTGTATGCACACGCCCAGACTATCATAATATTAAGAGGAATTCAAAAACTCTGTACCATTGTCAGAACAGACTATTTTAATAGTTTTAGAGTATTGGGTGTGGATCATCGTAAAAAAACGCTTTAAACAGTAAGTGACTTCACTTTTAGATTTAATGAGATAAACCCAAACAGCCCGGGAAAAATCATCAACAATAGTCAGAAAATAATGAGCCCCAGAAGATATGCAAGGTGAATAAGGCCCCCATAAATCACAATGAATTAAATCAAAAATAGCATTAGCTTTATTATCACTAGAAGGAAATGGTGAGCGAGTTTGTTTAGACAAGAAACAAATTTCACAAGTCTGTAATTTTTTGACCACAGATTGTGTTTTATTGGTACCTAAGAAAGGGAGTACATCCACGGATGGATGTCCTAATCGTTTATGAAGAACAAGAGGATCGATGTTTGCTACGAGGGCTGACGCTGGAGAGGAAGCAAAGACATACACGCCGTTTCGCAAATCACCCTGTCCAATCACAATCTTCGACGAATGGTCCTGTATTACACAACGATGATCATTAAAAGTTACACAACAAGTATTGTCACGAATTAAACAAGCAACAGAAATCAAGTGGCACTGTAAGTTTGGTACATATAACACATTACGTAATACCAAACTAGATGATAAATGCACACTCCCTTGTTTGACAGCTTGAACACGAGACCCATCAGGGAGACATATAGGTTTAGGAGAAACATCCTCAATATTAGATAAATGAAACAGGGTTCCTGTCATATGATGGGAAGCACTATCAATCAACCACTCACAAGAATGAAGAGGCATACCACCATTATCACGAACTGTATTAGAC